TCGCATAACAGCAGCAAATACAATAAGGGAGATAAATAAATCTGCTGCTGCTGCTGCTGCTGCTGCTGCTGCTCGTCAGAGAGAAAGGCTGCCACCAGAGATACTCAATGTGTTGCTGCCTGCGCAGCAGAAGCAGCAGGAAGAACACCAGCAGCAGGAAGAAGAGCAGCAACAAGATGAGCAGCAACAAGATGAGCAGGAGGAGGAGGAGCAGCAGCAGCAACAGCCGCTGCAGCCGCAGCAGCAGCAGCAGCAGGGATTGGGGAGATACGGTCGGCGTAGCTTAGGAGCAGCAGCAGATAACTCTTTATTTGCTGCTGCTGCTGCTGCTGCTGCAGAGGGTTCACTGCCACTACGCAGCACAGGTTAGATACCACAACTGCTGCATCTGCTGCTGCTGCTGCTGCTGTAGGTGCTGCTGCTGTAGGTGCTGCTGCTGTTGCTGCTGCTATTGTATCTGAGGCTTTCTTTAACCAATTCATTTGTTGTTATTGCTGTTGCTGCTGCTGTTCCTGCTGCTGCTGCTGCTGCTGCTGCTGCTGTACAGGCGGATCATCAAGACGTACTCATTCTCCAAATTTTGGTTTGCCTGCTGACAGCAGCAGCGAGGACGAATTAACAACCCCAGCAGCAGCAGCAGCAGCAGCAGCAGAAGCCGCAGCACCAGCAACTGCAGCAGGAGGAGGAGGAGCAGCAGGAGCAACAGGAGCAGCAGCAGGAGAAGCAGCAGCACCTCCTGGTGATAGTTTATGGCCATCTGTTCAAGAGTTGTATCATCAATTTGGTCTATGGACAGCAGCAGACAGAGAAGCAGCAGAAGCAGCAGCAGCAGAAGCAGCAGCAAGAGATGCTGCTGAATTAGATATGCTGCTGCACCCACAGCAGCAGCAGCAGCAGCAGCAGCAGCAGCAATCGTTCCCATGGGAGGAGGATCCGATCCCCACTTTGCGGCCACGTAGAAGACTTGAAGAACTCACGAAACACTTGCAGCAGCAGCAGCAGCAGCAGCAACAGCAGCAGCAGCAGCAGCAGCTGGGAGGTGCTGGGACTCGGTCCTTCTCTTGGGAGGACGAGCCAATCCCCACTATGAAAGCCAAGAGCTCCTTAGCAGAGCAGCAGCAGCAGCTGCTGCAGCAGCAGCAACTGCAGCAGCAGCAGCTGCAGCAGGAAGCAAGACCTGCAGCAGCAGCAGCAGCAGCAACTCCTAGGCAGCAACAGCGTGCGTTCTTAAGGAAGGGCTCTGGTATAGGTGGTGGGCAGTACGCAAAGAATGCTGCTGCCAGCAAGCAGAAGCAGCAGCAGCAGCAGCAGCAACTGCAGCAGGAGGAGGAAGAGGAGGAGGAACTGCTGCACATGTAGCAGCACGAAGAATAACAATCGAAGTACTTGCAGCAGCAGCAGCAGCAGCAGCGGCAGCAGCAAAAGACGATTTAGAGCTGGGCTGATGCCAACAAACTTTGCTGCTGCTGCTGCAGCAGAAGCAGCTGTTGCTGCAGCAGCAGCTGCTGCAGGTGCTGCAGTTGCTGCAGTGCAAAGACATCGCATAGGATATACTTTTTTTAGTTTTTCTTTGGCTATTTATATTTTTGCTGCTGTTGCTGCTGCTGCTGTTGCTGCTGCTGCTGTTGCTGTTGCTGCTGTTGCTGTTGCTGCTGTTGCTGTTGCTGCTGTTGCTGTTGCTGCTGTTGCTGTTGCTGCTGCAGCCCTCGGTGGTGCTACTTCTGTTGCTGCAGTTAGTGCTGCTGTTGCTGCTGCTGCAGTAATTGCTACGGCAGTTGTTGCTGCTACTGATGCGATTAGTCACAGCAGCTAAGACAGCAAAAAGAATAAACTAATTAATACAATAAATAAATAAATAAATAAATAAATAAATAAATAAATAAATAATAATAAATAAATAGTTACCTAAGAATAAACAAAAAATAGACAAAAGTTTAGTAAATAGTTTCTTGACAGCGGAGTTACTCGGACAACTGCTGCTGCTGCTGCTGCTGCTGCAGTTGCTGCTGCTGTTGCAGGAACTGCTGCAACACAGCAACAGAAGTAGCAGTTGCTGCAGCAGTTACTGCTGCTGCTGCTGCTGCTGCTGCAGTTGCTGCGGCAGCAGCTCTTGCTGCTGCAGTTGACATAGCACTTGCTGCAGCAGTGCCAGCTGCTGCAGTTGCTGCTGTTGCTGCTGCAGGAGCAGCAGAAGAAGCAGCAGCAAATTAAATGCAGTGCTTGTTACTTATGTGTATAATTACATATTAATCCCTATATTAATTAAATATTTATATAATTATATTAATAAATAATAATTTATTTATTTATTTATTTATTTATTTATTTATTTATTTATTTATTTATTTATTTATTTAATTTAAATATTTAATTATTATATTTACTTAACAAAGAAACACACGCATGCATGCATATACCCCAATAGGCTGCAGCAGCAGCAGCAGCAGCAGCAGCAGCTGCTGCTGCTGCTGCTGCATTATGGCATTTACCATTTAAATTA